TTTTTTTTCGGTGTATGATTTAATACAGTTGTTAGATACAGATAATAAATGGTTGTTTAATATTTTTGTTGAAAATTGGTCGTACTAATGTAGTATAATTTGGACAGTTCTGACACCATATCCTGCATATCCTGCATATCCTTCTTATCTTTCTGAACCACCACCGCCCGATCACGCACGTGCACGACACACGTCACAGACTCCCCCACCACTACTATGTCATACCACACCGGCACTGACGCAGCGTTCCCAGAAATATTGCCGTCGACGTCTCTGTCACAGCATTTGTCGCCGACGACCCCACCGATCGTGTTCGTTTCTACCCCCCCCTTCTCCCACCGACACTCATTGTATACTATTGGCCGGCCGTGTTTTTGTTAATATCCGATATCAGTAGTGATAATATAAAATATGATTACAATTAACGGCTAATGCTATCGTACAGGTGATAACACATTTGAAAACATTATGGTTGGTCGTCGTATTGTTCGTTATCACTGCTTCACGAGTGACCACGTGCGACGATACGACCAAGGAATTTGGGTTACCTTAATAAATGAGACGACACGTCAGACGAGTGTTTAAAGGTAACAACTGGTTTATTATTATATGAACAAAAACAAATATCTATGTCGGAAATGACAATAAGTCCGACACGAGGAACAAAGTATATAAAAAACGCGTGCAGTGTCGATGAGATCGGTCGCGAGAGACGAGCAACTCATCAAACGATGTTAATGATTTGTATGATAATCAATTAGGAGAAATGTTTGGAGATATGGTAAGTTAGATTAATAACAAAAAAAAAAAAAATTATCATTGAAATATGTTTTACTTAATATTAAAATAATTTAGACACAATACTATGACAGTGGATACGACTCACTTGTATCACTTCGTTCACCGAACTTGATTCGAGTGGAAGAATTAAGTTTAGATTCACCTATCATGATTTCCACGGAAGATATTAAATTGATTATTGCATCTCACCCACTACTACACAATTATTCCACCGATATGTTCACTCCGACCCAATATAATGAAAATAATTATTTTTATGGTATAGTAATTTTTCAAAGTACATTATTCCCATTTGTAACCAAAGATATTTTATAGAGGATAAAATGAATAATGTTCATCATGAAGACGATGATGATTTTTGTAAAAAGGCGTTGGATGCATATGAACAATCTGCACGTCGCTAACGTCATTCAATTAGCTGACAACGTATACGTGCCA